ATTGTTGTTAATTTCACAATGGTGCATAGCATTACTTTTTCAAACTAGTATGAATTAAAAATTAATCCTTCCATGAAAGTTTCCCAACTCCTGCCCTGGGATAAGTGGCTACCTCCTAGAATGTTACAAAACTGACCCTGAGAATTCACTAAGCTAGAAGAAAGGGAAGGAGGATTCAATATAGATGATGTCCTCTTGGAATACTATTTTTGCTGTTGATATTACTATTTTATAACCCTTAATGAAATAATAGGACTGATAAAATCTGACTCACCCTACTTTTAGTGGGATATCAGGGGTGTGCTGCTAAATGTTTAACAACCAGCTTCATATACTTTAGAGTTTAATCTGCATTATTGAAATTTTCTCCATCACTTTATTAAGTCTAGACAATCAACAAAATATTAAATCAAGTCCCCATTTGTGGAATTTGCCAATTCCAAGGTGGAAATGTTCATGTTGAAAATTTAACAATCATCTTTGAGCTGTTATGAGTAGGCTCCAGTATACTCCTGGAATAATGATCAATGATAATCTTATACTAGTATAAGATCTTTTGGCTTTACAAAATATTTTCACATACATTTTCATTATGGCATTCCACAACTGAGTTTCTTCCAAATCTGAAATTTTATAATACTTCAATTTTTTCTTTAAAAAAATAAAGTAGGTAAGGGTATTGACAAAGGGAAGAAAACATGTTTCCTCCTTCTGGAATTGTGGAGAAAAGCTTCAAAGAATATGAAACTTAGATAGTGAACTTTAAAGAGGCAATGCAAATGATAGTAAGAGAGCTTGGCATAGAGGCTGGAGAACTGACCTTGGAAACAGGAGGTTGTGAGACAGGGGGTTAAGTCCCCATCTACAGACAGCTTTAAGACTCTAAGTAACAGAGAAGATGTCATTTTGTGTCGGTAGAACTTTCTCACTGAAAGCTCCATCTGCTAAGGAAATCACTGGTCTGGTTTTTTTTTAAAATGCAAACAGCAGAATTTTTTAGCTGAAACGGTCTTTGCAGCGTATTGATTAAATTCCATTCGGTTTTACAGACATTTCTAAGTACTACCAGTGCAGGTCACCGTTTTGGCACAGGGGATACAAAAACAAAATAATCCCTACTCTCAAAAAGTATAAATTCTATACTGACATGGGGATGGGGGATAGAAAGCTGTATATGACACATACACAGAAAATAAATACAAAATATGTCCAGAACAATACAAAGTAATATCAAGAGGTAGAAAGAAAGCACTAGTAATCAAAATAGCTAACATTTATATATAGTGATTTGAGATTTGCGAAGTGCTTTATAAATATCTCATTTTATCTTCATACCCATTGTGGGAAGTAGGTACTATTATTATTCCCACTTTACATATGAGAAAATGGAGGCAGGCAGAAGTTAAGTGATCTGCCTGGGGCCTCATACCTAGTAGGTGTTTGAGGCTGGATTAGAACCCAGGTTTCCCTCCAGCACTCTGTCCTCTGTCCGCCTTAGTAATTTCAAGGGTATCAGGAAAGGCCTTCTCAAAAGAGGTGATATCTGAGCTGTGCAAAGAAGGAAGACAGGTCTTCTAAGAGGTGTAGGTGAAGAGGGAGTGCATTCCAGGGAGGGCAGGGGAGCAAAGGGAATAAGCATTTATATACAATTGTCTGATACCTGCCAGGCTCTAGGCTAAGCGTTCCAAATGTTATCTCATTTGAGACTCACACAGTTTTATATTATCCCCGTTTTCCAATTGAGGAAACTGAGTGACCTGCTAAATGACTTGCCCTGAGGCACACAAGCTAGTAAATTTCTGAGGCTGGATTTGAATTCAAGGTTTCCTGCCCTCCAGGCACTATTGTTCAGTTATATTCCCTATCTGGAGTTTTCTTAGCAAAGATACTGGAGTGGTTTGCCATTTCCTTCTCCAGTTAGTTCATTTTATAGATGAGAAGCAAACAGGGTTAAGTGACTTGCCCAAGGTCACACAGTTAGCAAGTCTCTGAGATCAGTTTCGAATTCATGAAGATTTAGTCTTCCTGATTCCAAGTCACCTAGCTGCCCTATATGCACTATATGCCACCTAGCTGCCATTCTAGACACAAGGCTACACTGCCTGGTTTTAGCAACTCCATGGAACAAGATAACCCCTTGGTTTCCCCCTTCCATTTTTCTACCTCCTTTGGTGTGTTGTCTCCCCATAATGGATTGTAAGTTCCTTGAGGGCAGGTACTGTCTTTTTATTAATTGTATCCCCAGTGCTTAGCACAGTGCCTGGCACATAGTTCAGTCCTTCAACTGTGGCCAACTCTTCCTCACCTCGTGGACTGTGACACACCCGTGTGGTGAATGGGACTTCTTAGCAAAGATATTGGAATGCTTTTCCATTTCCTTTGCCATTACCATATAGTAGGTGCTTAATAAATGCATATAGGATTGAACTGGATTAGCCTAAGGAATATTCTAAGAAATAAAAAGAACTCAAAGATAAAATGTAATGCATGATTTTTTTCCACCTGGGAAATTAAGGAAACTACGTGTGTTGTGGGGGTTTTTTTGGGGGGGGTGTTGGAGGGGACACATTTTTTTTTTTTGGTTGTTATTTTTTAGCAGGGGTAAAAATCAAAGTGTGTATAAATTGAGCATAGAGCTCTGAAATAAGGCAAAGACTTCCAAGCACATCAGGCTGTTAAATAATCAATGAAAAGGGCTTTCTTGGGGCAAGTAATTGATAACACAGGAATGTAAGAGATCATGGACTTTCTCAGGGGATAGTTTAGGGAATGCCCCTGTAATTTCATTTAGGAACTCCTAGTACCAATATACATGAGCTCCTTCTATGAAGCTCATAGAGTCGCCCAGAGTGCTGAGGTGTTAACGTGACTTGCCCAGGGTCACACAGTCAGTACAAGTAAAAGATGGAATTTGATGGATACAAATTATTCTAGTTGCATTTGGCAAATATGATTAAGAGTCATTACATGAGCAATCAAAATGAAACAATGTTAAGACTGGCTCCACAGCAATTGTGCTCTTGTCATTTTGGATATTTTAAGGAAAACTTTACAGTGTGCATATTTGTATGACATCCCTGAAAATGTATTCATAGTTTTAGGAAGTTGCCTGTAGTACTGAGAGGGTAAGTAGGAATCATACAGCCAGTATATGTCAAAGGTGGCATCTAATCCTAGGTCTTTCTGGCTCTGAAACCAGTTTTCTATCCACACTATCATGTCTGCCTCTGCAAATGTAGACCTTATTATAGAAAGAAAAATGTTGGGTTTTTTGGACAAAAGTTGAGAAAATAAATTTTAATTGAAAATGTATTTTTTTGCATAGATATTGAGGGAGAGAAGCTAGCATAGGGTAGATAAGAAATAACTCAAGAATTCTATGGGAAAAGGATATAAGTTTTTGTTATTATAACTACATTTATCAATTTGTTTAACTATCATTTATCTGCCTATCATCTATCTACCTGTTTAGCTGTTTAGGCCCTCTTGCCCCCCAAAAAAGTTTGAGGCAGCATTATCATTCATTTTCTAGTAGAAATTACAATATACTTATTCTTTAAATTATCTACATCCAGGGAAAATGCAGTGTTCTCCCTTTACACACACATACACTTTCCAAAGACAGCTAATTCTCACACATGTCCTCCTCTGTCCCCATCTTCCAGGCTCACACGCACACCACTATCCAGAGGCATTATTAATAGAAGGATGTTCTCTGCCAGCAGCTATCAGGCTGTGGTCTACAGACCACCAGCTGCTTCTGCACAAGTACCATGCAGTGCTGGAAGTAATGAAGTACCCACTTTTGCATGCAGCCTTTGCTCCCCCACCCCACATCATTCCCCCACCCCCCCAGTTTTCTTTGGTTACTTTACAAGCAAGCTAACAGTAATTCCAGGGGTATTTAATACTCCTTTGGGAGCTGCTCCCTGAAGCAATGCCCTCTATCATTTCTACTTTCAGGGGAAAAACATGACTATTCTTCTCGAGGTTAACTGCCCCCCCTCCAAAAATGTAAAGGAATACAGCACAGACAGACTCCACACCAACCAGGGAAGAAAATAAGAGGGGAGAAACCGGATGGGCTCAAAAACAGAAAGACCCACCACAATTCTATTTCTAAACATACATACGTATATATTTCATATATACGTATATATGTATGTATTTTCCTCAAATTATTTCAAAGTGGATTTTCCTTATAATTGTTGCTTTGAGGAGTCTGTTGCAAGTTCCAGCATAAGGATAACAAGCCTGCTCTGTTGTAGGTTTTATTTCACTTAGCAGTACAAGACACGCCTCTTTCTATCCTTGCTGAAGTGCAGGATCTTAAAGATGATTATTAAGTTTAAAAAAAAAAAGTAAAGAAATATAGGCGAGTGTCCTCTGAGCTCTGTTCTCCTTGACAACCTTGCACTCATTCTCTCATTCTATCCTTTTAGAATATGACTTTACAAAATACCCTAGGATGCGAAATGAGAACCTGTACCCCCAATGCAAAGTACTAGCCCATGAAATCCATCAGTGGAAGACAGAGATGATAAAAGAATCTCAAGGGCACCCAATCAGCTAACCAGAGCATCTGCGCATGCATATCATGTGTGTGTTTAAACGTGTGTATCCAGAAAAAAGAAAGAGAATTCGTAGGACTTCCCCGGCGCTTCTGTAAAACCCTGTTCAGCAAAGCCCTGGTTATGTTGTGTGGTTTAAATTATTTATCTAATGATTTCTCCTCCAAACATCTTCCCCAGCTGTGCGGACAGCTGGAGCCCTAATTCCAGCTGCTTCTGACAGGGACAGGAAGGGTAGTAGTAGAACAGGCAAGGAAGGGAAAAGGATGCATGGACGCAGGCATGCACCAGCAGCTCCCGAAGAGACTGAATAAGCGCTCTTCTGTCGGCCACCGCGCCCCAGGGGCTTTCCCTAAACTACCCCCATCTCGTCCCACGCACACACCCAAGCCATTCACTCCTCCCCTCCCCCAATCCCAATCTCCTTACAGTCTCAGGGTCGTTTTCGAACACTTCTCGGG